ACACAGCGAGTCCTTCACAAGCCCTGGTCTTCCAGCTTCTCTCCTGCCTGGGGCCAGTGTCCAGATGCTTGGGCTTGGTCTCCCCTCCCTCCTCCCCGAGCATCCCTGCAGCTGGGGGCTCCCTGGCTGTGGGTCTTCCCTTCCTGTCTTCATGCTGTCCACCCGCCGGGACTCAGGGCCAGCGCGGCAAGCAAATGCCTGGACGTCCATCCCTGCTGGGTTGGTTCACAGAAGCTGTTTCCAGCTATTTGCTTTTCCTAACAAGGAGGCTGACGCCTAAATTTCTTTGGGGGGATGTAAGAACGGGGCTGAAAAAGACTTCGGAGGAACAGCAGGAAGAATTCCATGTTAAGTTTGGGGAAATTTTGTAACAGCCGCTCCTCAGGCCCTAGGGTTTGGGAACATTTTGGTGGTAGGCAGTTTAGAGGGGCCCTTGAGACAGTCCAAAAAAGGAGAGTCTGTTTTCAGCCCGCTCCCCAGCAACCGGTGGCCGTCCAGAAGGAACACCGCGAGGGAAGAGGTGCCACTGAGGATGCTTTGGGTGCAGCTCTTCGGTGGACTAGGGGCTGTTGCCGCCGGGAGGGCTCGGGGACGGCGAGATCGCTGCGGAGCTGGGGGCGCCCGTCCCGCCCGGGTCAGCCGGGCCCTCCCCGCGCCACGGAGGCGCCGGTCCTCCGGAGCCCAGAGCGTCGCGGAAGTGCACGCGCGAGGCTGGGGCGGGGCGAGGGCGCACTTCCGGCCGGCGCGTGAGCGGCCGCCTCCCGCTCGGAAGGTGAGTGGGCGCCGGGTGGCGGCGGCGGCGGGGATGCTCGGCCCGGCTGCCCGCTCGCGCTCGCGTGTCGTCCCCGCGGGCCCCGCCCGGGGCGTCCCCGCGCCGCCGTGACCGTGGCCCGGGCTCGGCCGGTGGGACGCGGGTGACCGCCCAGCCGGAGCGGAGGCCTCCGCGGGGTAGCGGGCCGCAGCGGGCTCACTGGCCCCTGGCGATCGCGAGGGTCCGCTTGCTGGGCGCCTCCCCACGCCCCCCGAACCCCGGCGACGGGGTCGTCGCGGTGCCCACTTTGCAGGTGGGGAACGGAGGCTCCGAGAAGTCCGCAGTCGCGAGTGTGAGCGCCGGACCTCAGCTGGGGCGGGCAGCGCTCCGCCGCCTAGCGCCCCGAGAGCGGGCCCTTCCCCGCGGGGCGCGGGCTCCAGGCCGGGAGGAGAGCGGGGGCGGGGGGTGGCGGGGAAGGTCAGCCGCTGGCCGGGGCATCTCTGTCCCCTCCGCCTCCAGTCGGTTGCAGCAGTGTGGCCCCAGAGTTTGTGCTCGCGTCCCGGTGGGCGTCCCTGTGTGAGCGCCACCTCCGAGCAGACGGCCTGGAGCGGAGGGGGGTGGGGGGTGCGTGCCCTGTCCCAGACGAGCCCCAGCAGGTTAGCCGAGTAACAAGATGAGAGTTAGGAGCGTGGGGACCTGCACCCAGATGTCATGCCTGCAGCCCCACCCTGTGTCCGCTTATGTCCACTTCCCTGAGTGTCTGTGACCCTTCCCATCGCCAGGGACCGAGGGCTGCCCAGGAGGTGGGGGCTGGCCGGGATGGCCCAGGCGCCACTGAGGAGCCCTGTTGGGGCTGCCTCCCCACTTCCTCGAAGCCGATACTGTTGGCAACCATTGCTTAATGTACTTTAACTTTTGTTATTCCCATGCCCTCTTCACACCCCAGTAAGCAGTCCTGCTCCACCACAGTGTGAAAGAAAAGTTCTTCTCACGTGGGACCGAACCACTCTTGCAAACCACATCAAAGCAGAGTACCTTCCCCCGCAAAGGAGGCTCGGGCAGTCAGATGTGGTTGGCAGCCTGCAGCCTCTGAGGGCTCTTCAGGGTCTGAGGAGGACGGTTTTCCTCCCAGGAATTGTGTTAAGATTTAATCTAGAATGTTTGTGCTCCAGCAGGCAGAGTTCAGTTTCCCACCCTCCTCCTCCTCCTGCGGTTCAGTACACCCGCAGCCCGCTGCTGTAGTGTGGGAGGTTTTCAGGGAGGTGCAGCGTGCCTTAGGGTGTGGGCTGGGAGGACACTGAGGCCATTGCTGGGATGAGGGCTCAGGTCCCCACACGTGTGCTGGTGCCGCCCCGCGGTGGGATAGACGAACCGGGGGCCCAGCTGCCTCTCACCCCAGGTCCCACATGGCACCTCTTGACATCCTTGCCCCTCTCCGCCAGCGAAGGAGCCCCCCACTCCCCATGGCTGATCGGCAGCTGGCATCGCCCCCGCCCTGCACACACTCCTCCGACCCCCGTCATCCTGCCATGGTTTTCATTTCCCCAGGTCCCAGGTGTGCATACCTTCAGCAGGCCTTGGGGAAGATGGCGACCCTGGGGGACGGTCAGGAGCCCCCTCGTGTCCCGTCCCCTGTCAATCTTGCGTCACCAGGGACACCTGGAACCCACCGCCTCGAGGCCCGGCTTCACCTCCACGGTCATCAACACGGTACTCACCCTGCGCTGCGCTCCCTCCACCTCCCTGCACCACCCGCCCACCCTGCACCACTGACAGCGCGGCCAGAAACAAGGCAGCTCACGGCTGCTGGGGCTCCTGCAACCTTGCACTTGGGTCGGGACATGGGCAGCCGAGGTCGAGGCCGGAGGCTGAGCCTTGTGAGCAACGGCTCCCTAGGGGACAGTCCCCCAGGGCCATGTTGGGCAGGCAGGGCCCTGTGTCCTC